CAAACTATCAATTTCCATCTTGTCTATTCTCATTTATCTATTTTCACTGTTTTAATTTTCGAATCTCATTTCTCGTGAGTAATATTTATCGTGAGTAATATTTATCACTTGTCGACCACCGCTAATTGTTTTGCATTTTGAATTTTACTTAGTATTGAAGTTAAATATAATTAGTTGTAATTTAATTGTTCATGTTATGTGACTTGTAGATATTTTTTTAAATATTTTATTTTAGTATTGAGATTATTTCGTAAAAATATACAAGCAAAATGTTACTAAAGTTCAAAAATATTGAATTTTTTGTATGTTAATGGATCTACTGGGTCTGGCGTGTCAGAACTGTTTAGTTCGGGTCTGGGTGGGGCGGGTCTGGGTCTAAGCTAAAGCGGGTTGGGGCGGGTCTTGGGTTTATACGTTTTTTGTGGGTCGGGTCTTGGGTTTAAGCAAAACCAGCTCAGAACCGACATGTTGCCATCCCTAGTGATGTGTGTGTTGTAAGATATAATTATGAAATTGGAGTTGAATTAGGATTTCAAGAAGTTGGAGTCATTTTGGTGTATATAAAAGTGTTTTCTTGACACCAAAGAAAACTCTTTTATATATATTAAAATTACCCCAAATCCTTGAAAGAGTTTTTCTTATGAGACGTGCTATTTCCACCCTCAAAATATCTCATTTCACCACCAAATTAAATATATTTCTCATTTTACCCCTTTCTTTTTCTTTCACCGTCTACCACTAAATTAAAATATTTATAAACAAACCCCACCATTTTCGTTCGAAATCTCACCCTCTCCACCTTATGTGAATAATACTTTCGTTAGAGAAAAACATTTCCGAAGGCCAAAAAGAGCAGGAATTCACGTTTTTTGATAAATAAATTAACAATGCTTGTATGGAAGGTCCTGAACTTTCTCTGAAATTGGCCAGTTTGACTTAATATAATTTAATTTCCTAAAAAAAATTAGATAATCTGTAGGTCATCTGATATGCAAGTTTTAATATCTTGTAATAAATATTTCGTTGCAAAAAAAAAAAAATATTTAAAATAATAAAATAAAATAGAGATAACTTAGAACACACGAGGAATAAGTGAATATAAGGAAGGGTGGTGGATTATAAATTTGAGGGGTATCTATGACATTATATAATTTTTGGTGGTGAATTAAGATACTTTGGGGGTGGAAATAGCACCACTCTTTCTTATTTATAAATAAGTTTGAATGAGGTGGATTTATTTGCAAAACAAAAAAGTTGGATGTCCCATTTTTATTTTAGTGCTCTATGGGACTATTTGCAATTTACCCTTAAATTTAACTAGATAGAAAAAGACTTTGAGATTGTAGTCCTACCGCATTTTAAGAACAATTTTTGTATTCAATAAATCGTAATAAATGGATCTCATATGTCTAGATTACTATAAATAAATGAGCGAATTGCATATAACCCCAAGGAGGAGGGCTTAAATGCACAAATGTCCAGACCAAAAATAATTTGGGTAAGGGAATTGCTTTTTGCGGTTTGAAAATTGCTATTTGCGGTTTTTGACAAAACCCCCCCAAAAAAACATTTTATTTCACTAAAACCCCAAAACTTTCCAAAAAAATCCAAAAAACCCCCCCAAAACGCCTAAAAGCCCAACTTGGGCGCCCATTTATGCAGTGCACGCCCAAGTTGGGCGTGCAAGCTGCATTTGGGCGCCCCGAGTTGGCCGTCCAGTGCAAAAAAATATACTTTTTTTTTTTTAAATTGTCGAACGCCCAAGATGGGCGCCGCCTTGGGCGCCCATCTTGGGCGTTTGACCATTTTTTTGCGAAAAAAAAAGCCCTACAAATCGATTTGTAGGGCTTTTTAACATGAAATTGGTTCCGTAATCAACCTACCCAATGCATATTACACATAAAAGAGTCGAAATTACATCAAAAAACCGAAGCCCAACCCTTCTTCAAGCTTGATTTCGAATTTTCGAATTTTTTTTTCTTTTTTTTTGCTATTTGCAGTTTTGGGGGGTTTTTTGATATTTTTAAAAGTTTTGGGGGGTTTTGTTAGAAACCGCGAATAGCAATTTTGTGACCGCAAATAGCATTTTCTTTTGGGTAAATAGCATTAACCACCTGAACTTTTTAAGTTTTTGCACATCACCAATTGAACAATTTTTTTTTGCAGGAGTCCATCTATACTCAATTAATTGTGCCACACTGCCCTTTTTTACCTGTTTGCAGGTCAAAATGACCGGCTCTCACCCCACGTGCGTTTCACATGACAAATACAAGGCTATTGATGTCTTTTCCCTTCCTAAAAAATACTCAGCTCTAATTCCTGTTGAAATTCACACATTCTCACACATTTCATTCCATCCACTCTTTATCGTTTTCTAGGGAAAATGAAATCAAAGTAATTTCAAATTACAAAAATCACAAGGGTGTTTGCTTCAGTAGAAAATGAATCAAAGTAATTCCAATTTCTTTAGTTCGATATGGTAATCAGACGAAAATGAGAAGATAAATTATTGTTGGATAATTTTAAATAAAATAATAAAATCCAAAAAAGCCTTTCAGACCCAACCCCCTACCAAAATCCGCCGCGCCGCATGCTAATCACTTTTGTTGGTTCCTCCTGTGGAGTGAGGCGGCATCGACAGAGACGGCGATGGGTAACTAGCACAACCTAAGAAAAGAATAAGAAGAGAGGAAGTACAGTGGAATAGAGAAATGGAGAAAAGGGGAGAATGATAGACAAATTAGAGAAATAAAGGAGAAAAATGAAGGATAAATAATGGGGATAACAGGGAAATTGAAGGAAAATTGAAGCAATTAGGGGTTTTTTTAATGGAAAAGCCAACAATACCCTTGAATTTCGCATGTGACATAATTAATTGAGTACAGGTGAACTCGTGCAAAAAAATATTGTTCAAGTGGTGATCCGCAAAAACTTAAAAAAATTAGGTGGTTTAATGCTATTTACCCAAATAATTTTGCAAATAAATCCAACCATGTGTCTTTTTCCTAAAATACCTCTCATGATATAGTTTAAATCACTTTTGACCGTTAAATTCCAACTTTGAACAAATATATCACATTAACGGGATTTTCACAATTTTTTGAATTTATTTTTCATAATTTTTTTTTTCTTCTGAATTTTATTTTTCAATCATATTCTGGCATTGATCGTTGGTCTATGACGGTTGAATTTTTTATTTTTTTTAACTCCCCTCCTCAATAAATTACTGTGTTAACAACAATATTACTATCTTAGATAGTAATATTGAGGACCAAAACAATAATATTAATACTTATACGGTACTATCCCAGACATTAGTAATATTGCAGGCCAAGATGATATAATTAATTAATACATTAATATAACTGTCTCAGACAGTAATATTCATGTGAGGATAGTAATAGTAATATTGACACAATAATATTACTGTCAAAGACAGCAATATTATTGTCTGAGACAGTAATATTGTAGGACAAGACAGTAATATTAACGAAAATAGCTTTTCGAAAAAAAAAGTTAAAAAAAAAATTCATTGCACGACGGCTAACCTGCCCGAAAAGTAATTCAGAAAAATAAAAGTCAACGCCAAAGACCGGCACTGGCGGTCAAAATTGATTTATTTGTAAAATTGGTACGAAATTATGGTAAAATCGTGAACCAATGAGGTGAATTAGGGTTTCAACGTGTTGAGGGTAATTTTGGTATATAAGAAAGTGTTTTCCTCATAGGAAATAAGTTTAAATGAAGTGGATATATTTGCAAGGCCAAAAAATAGGATGTCATTATTTTAATTAAGCACCCTTGTCATGAGTATTTTTACAATTTGCCCTTGATTTAACTATACCATTAAGTTAACTTTATTGCAATTGGAACACTAATTCAAATTCGAATTGCACCCCTGTATTATCGCATATACCCCAATGTTCTACAAAATGCTACAGTATGGTCCCTGCTATCAAGCAATGTTATAAATCCGTTCTTTTCAAAGTTGACCGAGCATTGCTCTAGATGTTGGACAATTTCGGACGAAAATACCCCTATGGTTATTTACAAAAGGCTTGTCTCTTTCTTTCTCTCTTTTACTCAATTTACTCCCAAATTTTTTTTTTCAGGTTTCCTCCCCAATATTATTTCCCACAACCTAAAATTTCACTGAAAAATTCTGAAAACAAATATATTCCGAAAATTATTTACAATTTCTCTAATTTTACAATTTTGTCAGATTCTAAAAATTTCTCCCAGAATTTATGATTTTTTTATATTCTAGAAATTATTAATAATTTCTTTTTGAATTTCTAAAATTTTCTAATTTTATTTTCAGCCCGAAAATATTCGATTTAAAATGCTTCCAAACATTTCATGTTTTAAGTTCGAACACTACATGGAATATAAAGTTAAAAAATTGGGCGAGTAAAAAAGTAAAAAAAAATGCATATTTTATATCATATGAAAGTAAGGTTAAAAATGTAACCACGCTACATAAACTACAGTGTTTGAGATATGAGGATTGACTGGTAAATTAATGGGTTACTTTGTCGCATTTTGTAGCACATGAGATGTTTGTGTCAGTGATGATAGCAAAACTGTGCAATTTGCATTTAACACTTAATAACATAGATTATAGGGTAAAGTTCATTTTACCTACCTGAACTATACCCAAGGTATAAAATATTCCCCGAACTTCAAAATGCATCAAAATAACCCTTCGGTTTAAAATCCGTGTGCCTTTGCTGACATGGCACTTTGACTTTTGCTTTTATAATTATTTTTATATATTTTGCATTGGATTTGACATTTTCACCCCTTAAAATCTATTGTATCTATTTGTGTGTAATGCGTATATACATATTTATATTCTTATATAAAAAAAAAAGTATATTCCCAGATTTTCTTTTTCCTTTTTTTTTCTGTCATTCCCCATGTGAAACGGCGCCGTTTCACTTTCTTCTACCAATCAGATGCAGCCATTAATTTCTTTTCCATTTAATTTGAGGGTGTCCAATTGCAATCGCGCATCTGGCCGCCAGATGTGGCCTACAATTCTTGACTTATTTTTCTCCTTTTTCTTTTTCTCTTTCTTCCTTTTTATACATCCTTCTTTTAATGAGGGTTTTGATGCGAGAGCGAGTCGGAGTTGGTGGAGGCACGGCAGCTATCAGCGTGGGGGGAGGCGGCAGATTCGGTGGCCTACACATACAGTCCTCTTTTATCGACGTTTTATTATTCTCTCCAATGCATTTCGCTTCCTCCAATTCAATTTCAATTTTGTCGGTGTATGAACGCAAACATTAGGTAACACTTGGAATTGAAAAAAAGATAGGATATTTCGCATAAATCGCCGCCGGGGACTACAGACGGTCTGAGAATTGTTCGTGCAGTATTTGTTCGTTCCTTTGGCTTGAATGGTTGTGTTTGTAGTCGCTTTTTCCCTTTCTTTCTTTTCGATGTTCTTCTTTGAGGGTTTACTATGGACCGAATTGTGAATAAACATACGAGTCTTTGAGGAATAAGTATAGAAAAACAATCTCCACCAAAGGTTTTTTTTAGCCCATTTTTTCCCTTTTGTTTGCTCTTGTGAAGGTCTGTCTTAATTCTCTGTTTGTAAAGTTTCAATCTTTATTTTGATTTGTTTTTGTTTGTCTATTGTCCTTACAATAGTAAACTGCTTGTGCAGGAAATTCATTTTGTACACCACGATTTTTGCTGATGAATCAACCAAAAGTTAAACGCGGAATCGGGAAATATGAGATTGGACGAACAATTGGTGAGGGCACATTCGCAAAAGTGAAACTTGCTAGAATTCCAAGATGGCTGAACATGTGGCCCTCAAGCACAAAATTGCTGATCAGGTTATTCTTTTTAAATAAACTTGAATTCATCAACTATTTAGCATTAATGCTTGGCATGGTCAACTAACATTCTTGTCTGGTTATGGTTATGGATTTCACAGATTAGACGGGAAATAGCTACAAGGAAACTAATAAAACATACCACTGTTGTTCAGTTGTACGAGGTACCAAAGATTCAATCTTTCTAGCTAATAGCAATGCTATTTATTTATTTATTTATTTATATTACTTCACTATAAAGTGAAGCAACGGAGGGAATATATCTATATGTTTCTCTGTTGCCCTTATTTATCAACGACAATCTCGAAGGGGTTGTATTTGTATCTCATATTTGGATGTCTGAATTGTAAACATTTAGTACAGAAATTGCCAGCAGATGCATTTAACATCTTCACATATGTCCATGTAGCATAGTCTTAATATCTTATTTATCTAAATTTATTTATTTTTCTGCTGATGATAATTAGTGATCAGTTCTTCCGTTATTCTCTTATTATTTTTGAAGAACTATTCTTATTTAAAGATGCATTTTCGTTAAATACTTGGGATCTATTGATTGGACAGTTTATTTGATTTTTATGGCCTTGTGTAATTGATTTTCTACCTTTTCCCGTTTCTTCGTGTTGTGCTAGGGAGCATCGACTGTTACAGGCGTAAATTTCGATCCTTAGCCTCAATTCTTTTTAGTGTTGATGATTCGTCCATTGGCTTTGGTGCTCCTGTTTGGGCAAATATGAGAACAAGAGGTGTTACAAGTGCCACTGTAACATCATATTTCCTAGAAACTGTAAGCTTTAATAAATTACTCTAAACATTATAATACTGGGCGGCGTCTGCCGCTTCCGACGTTAACGGACATCGACGGCGCCGCTTCCGACGTTGACGGGCATCGACGCCGCCGCTCCTGCCAACTACGCGAACGCTCGTAATTTGATCTCCAATATTCTATCTCTTTCTTGAGCCGACGCTGCTGGTAAATCCCTCCCCAATATTATTTTTCAGATTTTCTGTTTGCCAATTTCCTGGGAAACGACGCCGCTGTTTCTACTAAAAAAATCCCCAGTAATTTCTTTTCCATTTATTTTTAACCCGTTCGAAACTTTTCGGCCATTCTGGTAGGCGGGGGGGGGGGGGGGGGGGGGGGGCATATGCGTTTTTCGTTTTGATTTTCCTTTTTATCTCAATAGAGCCTGTTCTTCCCCCGCCGGTGTCGCCTCCATCGTAGGTTTCAATACAGCGGGAGCTGGAGTTGGTGGGGACGCCTTCCGTCAGTAGGTTTGGGAAAACAGGTGAGTTAATGGAGGCTTAGCGGCGACCGCCGTCGGGGGAGCCGGTCGAGTTGGTGGCCATTCTGAGGGGGAAACAGAGTTCGATAGATTTGCGGGAGTGGCTTGTACGTTCTCTACGCCACCGATCCAACAAAACAATTTGCCATACCAGGCGAGCTCTCGATCACAAACTCAATTTCGAATATCACGAACTATCCATTGGTTAGATTCATTATGTACTACGAGGATGAGATGAAACAATCATAATGTCTATTTTTCTACAATTTTTTTGGACTTTTTGATGTTGCTTTGTTATTCCGTAGAATCAATGAGTTTTGATTTATTGATTTTATTTATATAATTTCTTTATAATGAGTTGTGGATTTAGGTTTTTATTTTATTTTATTTTATTCTATTTTATTTTTAATTTTTTAATTATGTATTGTGGATTTAATGGAATGAGTTAGAATTCGTCCTACAGGCATTATGATGAATTCTAACTCATTCCAGTTACACTTTTTTATCTGCAGCAAAGGCTCTGCTGATCCGCCACCCCTCAGGCTATGGCTGTCGTCTCAACTCGGTAACACCATATTCTGTTATCAATTTCTTCTTATTTAGAACATTTGATGTTCAGTTTCTTGTTCGATTGTGGAGGCCTGCATTTGCACTCAAACTTTTCATGGTTCACTGCAGGATGTGTGCCAGGTCAATGTAAGATTATTATCTGAGTTATGCTGATAGAATATAACCGCAGGCTCTTCCATTTTGTCACGTGTTACACTGTTTTCGAAACCAAAACCGAAACATTGGGTGATCGGTATATGTTTTGGACCCTTAGTAATGTGTTTAGTTGTTTATTATGTACAAATATTTTTAGATGTGCATATGTTTTTGATGGTTTTCTAATGTGAGTTTCAGATATCTTAAAAAAAGAGGTTCGAAAGATGTGAATTTGCAATTTTCTTTCCGAAAATAAGGATGTACATTGAACTTGGCTTAATACAAACAAATCATGTCAGCAAGCATTCCATGTTTATGAGTAATATGTTTTCTGTTCGATTTTTAGGAACGAGCTATAGGGAGCTTTGAGCATTACATTAGCTTATATAGCAGGGACAATTGCAACAGTTATGGTGGTCTATAATGTATTTTCTTTTAGTATTTGTTTGTTTTCCTTGTACATGTTTTGCAACAATGATTATTCGTTTATTTTTCGCATATTTCATGCAAAATGTTGACGTTTTGCTTCTGATGTTTCTAATTGGAATGTTTTGTCACTGTTCTTCGCCTTAAAGGTTGGGCAACAGCGCCGCGCCTTGCGCGGGCTCATCCCCTAGTGTGTGTATATATATATATATATATATATATCAATATATATATATATATATATATATATATATATATATTCAACCGCGAACCGCCGCCATGTCCGGTCCGGTTAGATGTCAAAACCCAAAATGCTCAAAAAA